TTGTATCTTGTAGTTCTGCCTTTGACATAGACATTATCAGTGTAGGGTTGTACTGTATTAGGAATTTTGTCCTGTAAAATAAAAGTAATATCACTATGTATAATTTGAAAAGAATTAGTATAACCCATCAGAATAACAGTAAGTTGGAACGTTCTGAGTAGTGTCTGAAACGTTGTAAGATTGTAAGAGCATTCATTGAGAGAGTATTAGTCAAAGGCAACAAAGAGATCTAGTACAGAGTAAATGGCCCTTCTAGAGAAGGATTCAACAACCTGTTCAATCATTAGAGGTACAAATGAGTCTTGAATCAAAACTTGGTTGAGTTCCTGGAGGTTGTGGACCAGGCACAAAGACTTTCTGTCTTTCTTTACTATAGTAAACCATTGGGAACAGTAAGATGAGTTTGACAGCTTATAAACTCTAGTAGTGATTTTGTCTTTGAGAATTTTCACAACTGTGTCAAGGTTTCCCTGTAGAATCCAGATGTTCCTTTGTACCCATGGAATATGTAGAACAGTCAGAATCAAAATCAGATTGAAGTATTCTGGGTCCAGGGCACCTTTCTCAAGCTCATTCCAGGCAAAGGTGTTCTCATACATTGAAATCAGGTTGATCAAAAGCTGGCACTCTTCTGGCCAGAGGAAGTTGTATGGATTGATGTCAAGAGCTTCCATACATTCTTGTGTGAAACAGTGTATTGGGACAAACAGCTTGGGGTGTAGCAGTAGTTCCAGCATGTCCTTTAACAGATCAGGATGCTTCTGTTGAACAATCTGAAATTCTTCCAGGAGAGTTCCAGCAACTGGTCTAACCTTCTTTGCTACCTTCTTGTATACAAATATGTTTTCTCTAGGGCTGTCAGGTGTGTATAGAACAAAGGGGTCTAATCCTGGGGTGGCTGACAGGGTGACTGGACAACTGAGGAGCAGATTGACTATGGTAGAGACTGGTGTGTGTCTATTGTAAGATGGTGTGTGTGTATCAGGAATTGCAGCTTTGGTAGTATCAGAACTCAAATCAGAACACTGTTTGTCCTGAACACTAAGGGGCTGATTGACTAATATAGGAGTTGAGAGATCAGTGATTACTACAAATCCTTGTTTGTTACATTTCTACAGAACAGTTCATGTTCTGGTCATAACTCAGCACTTCTGTTGACAATCCAAGGGATCTGATAGTGTTATGGACTAGTTACTGTTAATAAAGTCCTTTGTTTCACATTCTATGATAGTAAAGAATGGTCTGCCTAGGAGTGTCTCAAACAGGGCTTAACAAATGACTTGAGCTTGGAGGGCAATGTTGACTCTAGTAATATTGATCTTTATGTTCTCAACAGTACTGAGTGTCAGCACTTGTCCAGAGTCAGTAGTTTTGAGTATAATTGTAAGATTAGAACACAGATAGATTCTGAGACGTTTCCATACATCCTTACAAATGATACAGAGTGTTACTCCCTAGTCTAGAATACAGTGGATTTCTTTAGTATCTTTGAAGATGGCTTTAACTGTACATAACAGTATAGCCTGTTCTGTAACTGACTCTAGGCTCTATGTATACTATGAGACTTGAGCTACAATTGCATCTTTAGAAGTTGTTGGTTCTAAGAGTTCTGTCAAGACAAGGTGTGTGGCAGTGTTTGGAACTCACCTAGCAGATGACAGTTCCTTGACTTGCTTTCAGACATTAGGTGCAATCAACAACAGCTCCTTCAGGGTGAGGCTGATGCTAGAGTCTAGAATGTGAGAGACTATCTGCTGGACAATGATAGGGTCTTTAATGGGAGAGAGATTACAGTACTAATGTGGTTCTGGTGGTGGTCTGGCAGTAGGCTTGTCAGTGTACTTCAATCTGTCATGCTTCAGGGCCTGGCTTACTTTGGCAGGTAGTGTGGGCTTTGGTTCCAGCTTAGGTTCCTTGTCCTTCTTCTTTAGAATACTTGTTGTTCCACACCTTAGAACCTCTACTCTGTCAAACTTGAGCTTCTTACCAGTAGTGACTTTCTTCTTTGCCTCTCTGAGTAAGACTTTGAGTCTTTCAACCTTGTATTCTGCTTCCAAGACTTCTTCAATATATGTAGCTAGAACAGTAAACAATGTTTGGGATACTAGTGCTGGCTTTACAATTTTGAGGAGGGACACTATATGTAGTAGTGTGTCCTGTATGTCTCAGGAGACTTGAGCATACTTTCTAGGGTTGGTTGTGTGATACTAGTTGAAACAATCCATGAGTAGTTGGCCTTAGATTGTTAACAGAATGAACAATCTGTCAGGGAGAACAACCTTTCTAAATGTGTTCCAGATACACTTTCTGTTACAAATGAACTCATTAACCTTCAGACACAAGCAAATGAAGTGTCTGTCTTCTCTGTAGAAGGAGCAGTTTGTGTTGTAGGGCAGCCCTGTAGAATAAGCAGATTGTGCAGATTGTATACCTGTGTTTCCTACAAACAGGGAACTGGTCTTGCATTCAAACAAGTCTAACTTGCTTTAGAATGAGTAGAGCAAATCAAGGATGGTAGCTATGTTTACATCTTCTTTCTTTATTAGAATGTTTCTGGAACTCATTGTTCCAGTCACATTGACTGTCTTTCCTAAGCATTGTAAAGCCATACCTCCTCACATAAGCTTAGCAGCCTTAACAACTTCAGTGTATGTGTAAGCTATACAACTGTTGTGGTTAGGGTTACAGGCTAGCAAACAGAGAGTTAGCTGATCTTTGAAGGCACTTGTAATACTGTTGAGGAATGCTTCATTCTGATCTTCTTCCATGATTTCTTTCTTTGAGACTAGGAAGCTTACTATCTTCTGGAACTTGTACTAGTACTCTACAAACTCCTCTCAGTTCTAGATTCTAGTAACAGCCTATTGTTGGACTAGGATACAGAGGTCATTCTTTACATAGTAGTAATTACAGTCAAGGGACAGGTATAATCTAAGAATTGCTGCTTGAGCAGCTTGCTAATCTGAGGCACTGTCTGTAGCTTCAGGTATTGAGGCCCAGATCTCAGAATTGGATTGGTTAGTATAATATTTTACTCTCTAGATAAGCTGTTGATCAGAAAGTTGGAACTCATCTCCAATCATTTCTACTTCTTCAAGGAACCAAGGCAGGTCCTACACATTGGTTCTGTCATAATAGGGAGTATCACAGCTTGTTTGGTGTGGAGGCAGGCCAGTCTGTCCTCAGATTGTAACTAGTAGGGTATTCAGAATGTTGGTTGTGGCTGGCTGGCCACTCAGAGTACTAGCTGTAGCAGGCAAGCTGCTCAGATTATTCTGTGAGCTCATCTGTTGAGACTGGGAACTTATCAGATTGTTCTGTGTACTCAGAACTGTCAGAATGATCAGAATTGATGGAAATGCTAGAGTGATTGTGTGGTCCTCTTCTTGAACAGACAGAACAGGAGATGCAGAACAAGTAGAGTTGTGTGTAGAGGTTAATGGAAACAAACTAGGGAACAAACTATGAAACATGGATAGTGAAGCTGAGCTGGATTGCTCAAGAGGTTGTATGGAAACCCCTTTAGAAACAGGACTGGGTGTGTAGGATACAGGTTGTAAGAGGTTACAGTCAACCAAATCTAATTTGGGTCCAGAATCTGATTCTTCTGTGATTGAGTTGGTGCACTCTCAGTAGTGCTACCACCTGTTGGCTGCTCAGCCTACTCAAGACACCTTGAGAAACCCCCCTTACAGTGGGCTCCAAAATGTTGATCTCAAGTACTAGTTGAGGTAGAAGAGGTCAGTTGAGTCTGCAAGGTACAGATGCTGAGAGGGGTCAAGAGTGAGAAGGAATAGGTAGATCTGAGCAGAATGTACAAGTTCCAAAGGTGACAATTAACAAGACAAGAGTAGTGCAGAACAACAAAGCCACACTTCAGAACAAGGCAATACAAGATGAGACAAGGTAAGATGGAATGTTAACTGAGGAGACTGTCAAACTACACACTAAGAGTTGCAGTAGAGAGTAACTTGATTGCTCTAAAGTACAAATTATATGAGGGTATTTATAGAAATTATGAGTCCTTTGTAGCTACTAGTCCTTTGTGAACAAATCCACTACTGTCTCCTTTGTATCAACCTATCTGGGACTCTGGATCTGAGTCCCCTTTGTATCAATTGACCAGCTGTCTGAAGGCTCAGAGTCTTGCCTTTGTGAATCAGAACTGGAGTCCAGAACCTAACTAGTCTGAGTTGAGTGACCAAGACTATTGTGTGGGCAATGATGACGTAATCGAAGGATTGCTGACGTGAGGATGATGCAACTTTGATGCAACTGAGCCCTTCTGATCAGAACATATTGGAACGTACATGTTGCAAGAGTGTGACACTATGTATAGTCTCTGTAAAACATTACAAACATGTATTACCCTTTCAAAACTTGGTAATCCTTACAATACATTTCAAAAAAGGGAGGTCCAATATTATACATTTTATATGTTTAAAAGGGGTATTACCCTTATGTACTTTTATTACATTAATAAATCTTACAGTACCTTATACAAAGTTATACTACTTTATCAGAAATCGAGGTCTGATAATATGTAAATTACTTTTTTTACTTTTTTCACTTTTTTCACACCATTATAATGTAATATAACCTTTTAGACTTTTTCCCAATGTATTGTTCTGTTCTCATTGTGACATTGTCTCAAATCCTGACATACCTCCCCTTTCATTACATTCTTTCACTGTGTCAAGCCTTGTGAATTCAATGACTGTAAAATGCCTCGACATTTAACTCTCAAATATGTCATCAACAGAAATCTCCTGTAGAGGCCTGGTGCTCAACAATGTGAGTAATTGATGCAGCCATTTCCAGAGTCACTACATAATGGTATAGGCTGGGCTGATGTAACAAACAAATGGTATATATTATACATCCCTTCACGTGCGTCCCCCCACCTCCCCACTCCCAACGAATGCCTCTGCCTTTTTCGGATTTTGAACCTTATGCTTCATGGATAAAAAAATGTTCCTACAGGGTCAGGTCGTATTTCTTCAGAGCTTTGGGGTAGCTTTGATTGCTTTGGGGAGCGGCCAACGATCCCAGTGTGCAGCAGTATCCAAGAGACGGCTGGGCCCATTCGAAGCTCCATCACCCTAGGAGTCATATGAACATACAATGAAGAAGGTAAAATAAATATGCTTACGATCAGTGCAGTAGGGAAGCCCGGATCGAACGGAATAATACTCTCAAGGTACTCAATCTGCTCGTCGGAAAGAGAGATCTGGAGTGCCTCGATGTTCGCCATGAGTTGTTCGATTTTACGGCCACCAATGACAGGAAATACGTATGACGTTTTCTGCATGACATACGCGATAGCAACAGCGCTGATGTGTTCCGTACCAACCTCCTTTGCGACTTTCTCCAGCGCAGTACTCATTTTCTTCTCGTTTTCATTACGCATCCAACCTGACTGGAAGAAAAGGCGCCCCTTTTCTCCTGACGCTAGTCGTCGTTTCTCTTCCGCATCGGTACGTAGGCGTCCTGCTGCTAAGACATTCCACGGCGCAAGTGCTAAACCATTCGCACGCGCCATCGGTATGATCTCACGCTCGAAGCTGCGGTCCATAACATTCCACGATCCCTGGTAAATAACAAAAGGCGACTTTCCATGGCTTTTCGCATATTCATTGGCCGCCGAGACCACCCATGCAGGGGTATCTGATACCCCCAAATAAAGAACCTTCCCAGCAACAACGAGGTGATGCAGACTGTCCATAACCTCCCGGATAGATGTATTGAAGTCCCACCAATGTACGTACAGGATATCGATGTACGAAGTACGTAATTTCTTGAGGCTAGCTTCCACGCTTATCTTGAGTGATTTCGCATTATTTCCAACGTAGTTCGCTTTAATAGCGATGTCAGTTGCTGAACGTTTGAAATTTACTGTGTACTTTTTTTTAAACAGCGATGGACATGAGTCGCGCAAATATAGTGAATACCGTTTCTAACCTTTGTCGCAATCACAAGCTGGTCGCGAATACCGCGCCTTTCTGTCCATTCTCCAATGAACATTTCGGACGTTTCCTCCTGACTATGAAGGAACAATCAGTTGGCGTAATGAAAGTCGATTGGAACACAAACTATGCATTGGCTGTATCAATAAAATTACCACCCGCATCGAAGTAAGCATCAAGAAGCTTGAACGATGCCTCTTTATCCATCGCTCCCATGCCTATATCTACCCATTTGTCCCCAATACTTGCCGCACCGAGCTGAAGAGGCGAAACGCGAACTGCCGCTAGGGGAGAGAGGACTCGATACCGGCCCAACGGAGTTGGTGGTGGTGGCGGGGCCTTCCAAAATGACATTGTCCGGGAGACACGATAACCTTGAGCTCTATACCGAACCTTATTTATACCACCAGAAATCGCCCAAGACCGTCCGACAGTACCAGTTCACCATTATAAATCGTCGTAATCAGTGCAACGAAGCCGGCTGCGGAATTCCGGCAACGTGTCATGCGAAGACAAGCATCGTTGGCAGTCCTGAGTGCAAAGAAGAGCAGAGAAGCACATATGTGAATTACATCCGAACAAACAAATCGCCGTTTTAGAGCCGTATCAATAAGTCCCATTTGACAGTGCCCAGAATCCATTGCTTCGAACAACACGGTTGGACTATTGGACACGACTAAATGTTAATTTTGACGTGTTGTGTCAGACGCAAAGCCCCTCTGATCCCGGTTCACCTCCCAAACTGCGAGTCCATCAGACCTCGAAGATCAAAGCCAAGTCTGGCACCATGTGCTTCAGCATATGAAGTTCTTTTATATTTGCCTTGAGGACTCCTGCCAGGCGTCATTACTAAGTATGAATATGGGAAGGATGGGAAGGTAAGAGTCGAACACAAGTTGCACTCGTTCAATGCTTCCATTTAGAGAAGGGAGCAAGCGCTTACATATATATTATTACTGGGTAATAAACACGTGATGTTACAGCCTGGTGTCAGACATCTGAAACCTCTACGGTCTACTGATGTCCATATTCTTCTCCCAAATTCGTGACCTACCTCGTGCCCAATGGATGCTAATTCCCTCGCTCTGGAAACACTCGGTGACATGTCCTACGAGTGTGTACGCAGCATGTATTATCGAAAGGTAAGGGAGGAAACTGGTAGGGTACCAGTCAGAATTTCGAGCGTTTGTTGGCGGTGGCAATGTCTGGCCTTCTCATTGCCCATGCTCTGACCCTACTTGGACCGCTTCATTTATCGCGCACCTAAGAAGCCGTTGATTAAAGTTTTCGATGCGTGGCTTCAGAGGTCGAACAGCGCGCCACTCAATCTCTCGTTCATTTGTTTCGTCGATGATCACGGTCGCCCAGAGGCCCACGAAGTAGCTGAACGCGTCGTCTTAATGTTGCTCGATCACCAATGGTATTCAGGAAAAGTCGTCTTCTATTGGCTATCTAAGCGTCTTGCAGCTTCCCGCGTATAAGGCTAATATATGTGCCCATGTTGACCACACTTTCCTTACCCGCAAGAATCAACTTTAGTTCTTGCAAACCATGCATGTCAATCTTGCACAATCTGCAAAGCTTGAGCACTCACTTCTCGAAGGTCCATTCCCCTTCCCCTCCCCCTTCCCCCCCCCTGTTAAACGGAGATCCGCTGATGCATCGTCGAGCTCGGTTAAGCTCAATTTCCAGGAGTTTTCTATGGTACCCAACATCTCAACGTTCTCGAGGCGAATCCGAATTCGAAGAAACTCAACGCCATCCTCAGCTCAAGGTGTCCATTCTCTTACAACGGGGATTGTTCTGTCATCTCGCATAATCTCCGCGTCCTTGTGTTGTGCGTGCTGTTTCAGCATCCGTAATTGATAAAGTAGAGCTCTCTGCAATTGACATACGGTCATCACAGGAGAGGAGGATAGAGGTGAAATTATCCCGGCTTTGTGAAAACGTTCTTCGCCACCGTTACTTTGCCTGATGATTAGCGGCAGCTGTGTGATCAAAGAGACAGTTGTACAGCTGGCTCCCCTTCTTCAAGTGCTTGCCTTGGCGTCTTGCACAGTTTCAGCACATTTGTTCAGTGTTCTTTTCATGTCCAGTCGTGCGCACACTGGTGTTTTCCATCCGGGCTGCAAGGGACCGGATTGTAGGCCCCGACCTGAGATACTTTTGCTTCTGGGAGAGCTACTCCGTTGTCGGTGGACTCTGCGAATGTCCTGATGCATTATGCATCATGCTAGAATCGTGCTGGGAAGCATTGAAGCTGTGGGATTGTCTCGTGGACGTACATAGGCTTCGTAACTCGTTCTCTGTAGCTGATCATGATTGAGTGCACGGGTCACATCAGAGGCAGTAGGGTTTTCGTGTTATATACACTAGTGGAAATATATATATACTAGATAACTTTATACCTGCCTATGGATCTTGAAACGGTTTTTTCTTCTTTTACCACAGCGTGTCTGGTCAGGCAGTTGCACACAGTCTATGAAATCTTGTTTATTGGTGGATCTTGAATGACCTGCAAGTAGGTAGTTACAGATTTGCAATATTGTACTCATTGAAGCCGATCCTGTTACTGTCGACTCGGATGCTCGCTCATATCACTGTGCAATGCTCTTTTTTGAGTCGCTTCGTTCCATTTAGATGCGATTAATATTATTGCACTTGCTTATGGTCAGTTCAAGTATGTCAAGCCTATTCCTTGATGTTTTCAAATTAACACCAGACAGTGCTTCCGGACGTAAGTGACGCTGGCGTTCACTATTTCTCTGTCTGCAGTAAACACCAAGATCAAGCTAGCTATTTAAGCGTGTACAAAATGAAGATAATTGAGAGTATATGCCGTGTAATGCGATAGGCAAACTGTTCTCACGCATTACTGATTATATATATGTATGGGAAGGTCGAGGAGGCAAGCCGCAAGACGAGAGACTGTTACATTAGTTCCTCAGCTTTACGATGGGCATGGAGCAAAGATAATAACTGTGGCCGTGCTTACATAACGAAGAAAACCCAACGTGTCTCAGAGAGTGACAGAGACTCAGACTCAATGTTCGCTGAATCCAGCTCTTACATCCTTCTGCGACCCGTGGACTCTGATGTCTTCGTACTCAATGAATATCAACTCTTTCCCTGTGGCGATACTCGGTGACATTTTCCACGAATGCGTGCGAAGTTCGTCTCACCGAAAGGACAGCGTTAGGACACCGATTAGAATTTCGGGCGTTTGTCAACGATGGCGCAATATCTCGCTCTCATTAGGAGTTCTCTGGACATATCTAGACTGCTACGTTGAACATCCGAGGAAACAGTTGATCGAGATTTTCGACGCATGGCTTCACAGATCCAAATGCGCACCACTCAATTTCTCGTTCAAATGTAACCTCAAGCATAACAGATGTCCAAGGGAACATCGAAGAGCTCAGCATGTTGTCTTAATGCTGCTTTATCATCAATGGCATTGGGGCAGCGTCAATTTTACCTGGAAATTTGACAAATCCCCGGGATTACCAGATATAACATTGATAAATATGCCGATACTGAAGTCACTTCGGCTATCTGTCAAGTTGGATGGTGGTTCATATACATATAATTCCGGGCGTGTCAACCTCACACAGTCCCCGAAACTTGAGTGTTTGCGGCTTATCGGTTCGCTTCTTCTCGAAATTGGAGATGAGCCAATGCATTTGACGAGTTCAGTGGATCTGGACCTGAAGGACTTCACAGTACAGCAATGTCTCGACATTCTCAACGTGTATCCGAATTTGAAGAATCTCCGCACCGACTTCTCGACAAGGCGTGACCTGTCCTACAACGAGGAGTCTTACAACGAAGATTGTTCTATTATATCGCATAACCTCCAGGTCCTTGTTCTACAGTGCGATAAGGCTTCGGCATTCGTAGTTAACAAACTGGTGCTCCCTGCTTTGGAACAATTGGTCTACGATGACAAGAGTGCCGAGAATGGATGCGCGAATTTCTTAGCTTTTGTCAAACGTTCTTTACCACCATTAACTCATTTAGAGATTACTGGCCAGTGTGCGGATGACGATGTAGTGTCGCATGCTCTCCCTCTTCTTCCCATGCTTGAGGTTCTCAACCTGGTGTTCTGCATCGTTTCAGGATCGTTCTTTGTTCTTCTTTCTATTCCAAGTGGTGCGGGTACGACTTGTTGCTCTCACGATGAGGGGAAACAGATCGTGTGTCCCAATCTTAAATATCTTCGGGTTTCCTATTATAATGTCGCCGAAGGAATACGCGCGTGTGCTGATGCACTATGCACCATGCTTGAGTCGCGTGCGGATGTTTTGAACCAAAGCAATATCGCTGGGCCTCACTTCCCACTTTCTGCAGCTGATTATGAAAGGGTACAGAATCACATCCGAACAGAAAAGCCAATTATTGCTATTTCCACTAATACTAGCATTACACGATTTTGTATGAGCCGAAACTTGTAGAACATGGCATTTCCTCACCTGGATTTTCCTGAATACTTTTGGCTAGGTGGATTGGTGTAGTCCTTGACCATCTGTTTTCAGTTGCTGCTAATTAGTATAGGAATGGGCAGCAGATGTAAGGTCGTCTCCATCGGAACCCATTCCCAGTCGTCTGAGATCTGGGAGCTAGTTGTAGAAGGCAATGCAACCTGAGGAAATGTCTCTCGGGACAAATATTGCACCCGTTTACGACGGATCCACAATGAATCTTACTTAATCTAATATCCGAAGAGCCTGGCCCTGCAGCTTTGCAACTTCAACTATATCACTTATATCAGTTTTGCCTTAAGTACTATAACATAATCCACGTTGTACATTTATTCGACACACTGTGTTTTACGTTTTTAACAAGTGTAGCAGGAGTGCCCCAAGTACTCTCTCTTATTGAGACATCAAGCAAGTATCTACCTTATATACTACATAGTGAAGTCCGATAATCTGAGACATTCCAAGTGCAGTAATTCTACATAAGGCAATTGGGGATTTCCTAATCCAGAGTGCAATCTAATACTCCCCTTCAAGCATTAATTAAGAACTAAGACTGTATGCCTAATAGTTTGTTTAGATGCTTGATCTGCAGGACGTGGAGAGCCTTCGTAAGGATGTCTGCTAATTGGTTCTGTGATTGAACATAGCATACATTGATATATTCGTTTTGAATGTAACATTGCACAAAGTCTTTTCGTAAATCAAGATGTTTAGTGTGAGTGTTGTACATTATTTTGTCAGACTTTACAGTCTTTATTACACCTTGATTATCACAATAAATTGTAATGGGTGCTGATTCAGTCTGCAGTACTTCTTCAGCAAATTGTTTGAGCCAAATGGCTTCTTGAGTAGTATACACCAGCACTTGCAACTCTGCTTCATAAACAGATAGTGGTACCAGGTTTTGCTGTTTGCTTGACCAAGATATGGTTGATTTAGCTAATTGAAAGACATAGCTGTTTATTGCTTTATGTCCTTCTGTCATTCGTCTGTCTGCATCACAATAGCCTCATAGTTTTAAGGCGTTTGTGCTTCCAAGTTGAAGCCAACAATTCATTGTATATTTTAAATATGCAAAGCAATGTTTCACTGCTTTGTAGTAATGCATTTGGGGCTTTTGTAAGTAGCATACTAATTGCCCAGTAATATAGGATATGTCTGGCTGTGTGCAGTCTGCAACATATCTTAACAATCCTACCATATTCATGTATGGTGTCGTTTCATTATTACTTTCGTTTGTATTGTATGTATTGTTTGTATTGTTAGATAGATCTATTCCAAGAGTAATAGGTGTTTGTAGTGCCTTTTCGTTTTCAAAGTGGTAATGCTTGATTATACTTTCAATATAATGCTTTTGCTGTAAGCTAATCGTTCGTTGTAGTCTATCTCAGCTTATTTCAATACCAAGTAACTAATGTATTTTGTTACTGTCAGTAAATGTAATGTGTTGCCTTAATGCATGTTTAAATGCTGTTATTATAGTAATAGTTTCGCTAATAATTGTAATATTGTTAATGTGCATAAATGTTACAAGAATTGTTTTATTATTTTGTTTCTTGTAAAATACAGTGTGATTGTAATTAGCTCGTTCTAATCCAATCTTAAGCAGTAGTTCAGTAATCTTCTTGTACCATTGTCTACCTGCTTGTTTCAATCTGTATAATGCTTTATTTAAGTGTAACACCTGTCCAGGTTTAATATCTGTAAGTAGCCTGCCTGGCAGCAGTTTCATGTAGATGAGTTTGTCCTCATTTAATTCTCTGTAAAGATATACAGATTTTACATCTATCTGATGTATTTTGTAGTTCTTAGATGCTGCCCAAGATAACAATAATTGTACTGTTGATAGTTTTGTTACTGGAGCAAATAAGTCATCAGAATAGAAGTCTATTCCATTCTTTTGAGTGTATCCTTACACTACAAATTGTGCTTTATATTTGTCTATTTGGCTGTTAGCTAGTCTTTTGATTTTATAGACAAATTTTGTTCCAATTACATTTGTATTTGTAGGGGGGATAGTATATATCCATGCATTTTGTTGTTGAAGTGACTATATTTCATCCTTCATAGCTTTGATCTATTGTTCTTTGTCTATACACATTATAGTATCATAATACGTTAATGGATCGTTATAGACTTTGTTAAGGAATTTGTTAAATTCTGTTAGATACATAGTTAGGTTTATATTGTCTTTGTAATTTAAACCTATAGTTTGTTTAACCAGTCTTTGCTCTTGTGTAGAGTATTGTATGACAGGTTCTTTATCTTTATTATTGTTATTAGGAAGAGTTTCATTATTGTTTAATGTATCATTGTTATGATTATTCTCCCCTTCAATCCTAGACATTGGTTTGTCTATGAATTGTATGTTGCACTTGACAGTAATTTTATTATCATAGCACACTAAGTGACCTTTACTGTCGTTATCATAACCTAGCTATTGTGTGTGTTGGCCTCTAGGTTGTAGTTTATACATTCGTTTGTTCTGTATGATACAATATGCACCAAATTCTCGTATATTATCTATTTGATAATGTTTGTTATACTGTTTGT